TGGCCTCCAGCCTGGGTGGGCTCTGTGGTTTGGAGGTGTGTTGGTCATCCGTCGCTTTGCCCAAGGGTATGCCTCCCTGTCTCCGCTGCCGGCTGCCTTGCTTACCCGCTGGTCAATACCTAACTTTATTGATGTAATCATACTTTTTTCCTTAAGTTATTTTAAGCGTTATAATCATCTTCATAATATTTTGCATTTATTTTATGTCTTGAGGTTCGTATAGATAGATCATTAATTTATCCAGTGAAAATATGTGGTTTAATTTGGTAAAATAAACCTATTTGCAATTCTGGCTGGCAGTTCATAACTCGCTTGGCACTTGTCTATACCAGAGTTCCAACTTTTAATAATGCATAATATTTAATCATGAGCTACTATATTGTTCTGTAGTCTGACATTTCAGCTGGATAAATGCTATTGGATCAGTTAGATCATAAATAATCGTTATTAACTTTGAAAAGAGTATTGGGGTGGTTCGATGTTTTCACCTTCTGCAAATGATGAATGCGCTTAAATAAAGTATTGTGTTATCAGCACTTTCTTGGATAAGAGGTTTCTCCTTTGTCGTAAACATTTGTATTTTGCTTGTCTTTTGTCACAATATGTCTGAAGCTCTCTTTTGGGAAAATGACATACTTAAATCTGTAAATTTCTTGCCAATATCTGAAGCAGGGGTGCTCAAAACATAGATCCCCAGATGTTGTAGAACTACTACTCCCATGATGCTTTGCATGCCTTTGGAATGCTTTTAGATTGATAACGCATCATGGAAGCTGTAGTTATAAAACATCTAGAGATCTACCTTTTGGGCAACCCTGACCTAAAGTGTATAGTACCAACATCACCGACATATTCAGTAATGCAGTACAATCCCCAGTGTATTATTACAAGGCTCTGCGGAATATGTTGGCGCTATATAAATAATAATACTAATGCAAGATATGTTAGGAATAGGTGATGAAAACCGTGTCCAAACAGACGTCCAGTCTAAAGGAAACGGGATAGTGGAACAAATTGAAACATGGGCATGATGGAAGGTATAGTACGCATGCATCCTATATTTTGTATTTGTTAAAATGCATGTAGTGTGAAAGGGAGACATACTGTTAGAGCAGACAGTGGATAGACAGAGCTAGGTTTGCTATATGGAGAAATAAATAGTTTACTTTCTCTATATACGTTGGAATGGAGTGACACTAGACAGGTGAGAGTTTGAAGGTGTTTGTGCGAGCTGACGGTAAACACGAATAAATGCTTGTGCCTTGAGTTCCAAAAAGGTAAACAAATGTGTGTCTTCAGAAAGATAGCGGCCGGATATGGAGAGCGAGAGAAAGAGGAGACAGAGAAGAAAATGACAAGGCAGAGATTTTAGCAGGTAGAGAGTCAATGGCAGAACCATTGCTCTGAATTAACACCCTGTACATTCCATTTGGGTAGATCATCTAGGTCAGGGCTGCCCAAAAGGTAGATCCCCAGATGTTTTAAAACATGATGCTTTGTCATTCTAAGGACATGCAAAAAATATATATACTTTTATTTTTTGGAAGGGAGGGTGTGTGTGGAGGGTGCAGGGACTGAGTGGGATCTGTGGAGGGAGGGGGACAGTGCAGGGGAGAAGGTATCTGTGCAGAGGAGGGAGGGGGACTGTCAGGGTGCTGGGGAGGCAGGGGGAAAGGGGATCTGTGCAGGCAGAGAAGGGGTCTGTCAAAGTGCAGGGGAGGGAGGGGGGCTGTTGGATCTTGCTTTTGATGCTAAACTTATATATATGCATCAACTAACAAGACCAATATAATTTTCCTTTTACTGTTACGCCTATGTCTCGGATTACATCAACAAAATTAAAAATGAGGAAAAAAAAAATTGAAGTTCAAATTTTAAGCCAGAAAAGCCAACAAGTAAACTTATCTGAGTTGGAGAATTGTACCATTATAGCTTTTGGCCTTGAGATGTGAAATGAATTCAGCATTTCTCACAGCAAAAATTTGCTAAATATTCAGATGTTGTTATGTATACTTAAATAAGGAAACAAAAATGAACAGACTTGCAGTTTTTCACTGAAGTCCAAATTGTAGCTAACTGAACTCTGAAATGCCCAAAAACGCGAGTTAGAAGAAATCACCAACACAGCCATATTCACAGGTATTTTAATCTAAATTTTGCCATTTTAATCCACTATAATGAAGTCTCTATTTTTATTTTCTTATTTATCTGTATGCGTTTTACAGCCAAGTTAAATAAAAACACATTCTATGTTTCTATCCTACACAATTCTTAATGTATTTCTCCAGGAAACCCACTCTTTGAAATAAACTGGGATAATGTTCAGTAGAAGAGAAAGTAGAGAAAGAAGACAAGTATGAAGTGACTCAATTAGCCTAAGCTTTGTTTTTCTAGGACCAAATATTGCAGCCTTGTGCTCAGCCACGCGGGATGCTTGGATGTCCTTTGATTCCTGCCTCTCTAGGTGATTGATGATGGGAGTTGAGATTCGTAAAGTTCTCCTTTGCAATCTGCATACTCATTTGCATGTCAGTGGTGAGCCGCATGTGCCTTTTGAGATGCAAAGAGGTCATTTGCATTGGACATGTTGAAAGATGTTCATGTAATTCACGCAGGGTTGTCAGAATCCAGTTATTCAGAACAGTAGGACTGGACAGGACAGTTCCAAGAAGGTAGAGGAAAGAACATTTAGAGACATATTAGTTGTATTCAGTGCTACGTAGAAAGGCATAATGCAAAATACTCCAGAAACAGTGAAAATATAGAGTAAAAAAAACAAAAAGTCTGAGGTCGGCTAATCAGATAGGCTAACCAAGGTTATGAAGCAAGAAATTTAGAATAATCAATAAAGCAATCCAGGTCTGTATCAAAAACTCAGTACAGATCAAAGAATGCACTTAAGGGTAACATAAAGGTATCTCAAAATAAAACTAGATAAATGTACCCAATTTTAGGAGTGAGTTTATGGTATGGGATTAGGATGAGCCAAATTAGTAGTGCTGGGTGGGGAGAGGGTGACTTTGTGAGACTGGGATGAGGAGATAGATGGCTTTATGGTGCTGGGTTGGTGAGGTGGTGAAATCGTGGGGCTGGAGTGCAGAAGAGGTAGATAATGGCACTGTTGGGTGAAGTCAAAATAGTGAAGAGAAATTAATTGGTGGCACTGGTGAGGGGCCGAATCTAGAGAAGAACAATGTGGCGGAACCAACCTCGCCACTATGCACTGGAGAAGCCTGGTTGCCAGCCTCCTGCCATGTGACTATGGCCCCTGTGATGTATTGCCCTTTAAAGACATGATTTGGGCATAATGGATTTGTGTTGTGCTGCTGCTAGCCCTTTTAAGAACCATCTGGGGACATACTGTGGAGTTACTGGGTGGCCACCATTTCCTGTATCAGAAGCACATGGTGAGAACAATGGATGGCGGCCATTTTAACTCACAGACACTGTGTGGACTTTTCAACATGGTGCCATCTTGCCAGTATTTGTTGCACAGAGACATCGTGCGGTGGTTTTGGACTATACAGCAGGGGACACATTATACAGTGATTGTTTTTTATTTAGCCTGTGTCGGGATCCCGCGGGCGGCTGCGAGGGGAGGCTGCACTCCGCTCGCGGTACTCACCCTCCAGCCGTCCGCTGTCCCCTCCTCCTCCTGGGTCCGGCGAGCGGCATCCTTCCAGCCTCGGATGCCGCCCGCCATTCCCTCCACGTCCCCCAGCGGCAGCATACATGACGCTGCACACTGGGAGACCGCCCAAGTTTGTACACGCTGGGGTCAGTCACCTGACCCGGCGTTAAAGGCACAGTGCCTCAATCACAGTGGGAGGTCTAGATATCTCCCACGTGTGATTGTTAATTCTGATTGGAAATTATCCAATCAGAATTAACCTGATGGTTTAAATACTTACCTTTCCTGTTCCTCCCTGCCCTGTTGTGGTCTTTGCTTGCTTGTATTGCTACTTACCTTGTGTTTCTGGTTACGTACTCTCTGGCTTGTTTATCCGACTTTGTGACTTTCTCCTACCCTTTGACCTCGGCTCGTTTCACGTTATTCTGTCTTCTGGTTCCCCTTACTCGGCTTGTTTCCTGACTATTCTGTGTGTGCTTAGCCCGGCCACTCTAAGGTCCGGTACAGCACCTTTTGTGTGTGTGTGTGTGTGTGCCAGCGTGTTGGGTTCCCCGAATCGTGACAGCCTGTATATGTTCTGCAGAATCAGCATTAAACTGTATTTTCCAAAGTACTGAACGGATCTGGGTGAATTTTGGATATGTGGTTCACCCAGATCCCCCAGTTCCAAGGATATACTTTTTATGGGGTTATTGCATGTTTTGGGGTCCCTGTGATGTGTTTTATGAAACTGTATTTCTCTGGCTGTGATAATTAGATTACCCATTGTGTTCAGTAATCATATCACAGCCAGAGGGGAGGATTTTGTGTGGGAGTGTCTGGGTGTATTGTATGGATTGATTGGCTGTTTTGTAACGCCCTGTGGGCTGTACTATGTTTGTGGATTGGGAATAAAAGAGACTGTATGTGACAGTACAGGGAGTTCCTGTTTTAACCCTCAAAGTGAAGTGTCGTCTCATTATTGGGGGAAGGATTTATTGTATGCTGTTCCAGTTTGACTGCTAGGAGAGTAAACCTATTTGTATGGTCCCTATTCAACTGTCTACAGCATTCATATGCTTGAGAAAAGGTATACGCTTCTCTGGTTCGGTGATCGTGGTGTCTGCTGCAGTGCTTGGAGTCCTCAGGAAGCGCTAGGAGCATCTTTCAACGGAGGTACCCAGTCGGGGTGCCAGGTGATCCGTTACATTGGTGGCAAGCGGTGGGAGGGCGTCCTAGTGCGAGGTAAAGCAGCTCAGAGACACCGTTTGTGGAGTCACAAATTGAGGACAACGCTAGCACACGTGCAGCGCCCCGGGAGCAGAGGTATCCAGCGACTTGGAGCAGACAAGTATGGAAGGCTCTGGTGATGATTGGCTGGCCGAGGTGAGGCAGCGAGTGGCCCAGTATGGTGATAATGTGCCCATGGATATATTCCAGGCGATCTGGAACCAGGTCACAGCCGAGCAAAACACAAGGATGGACCGAGAATTCCGGCTGGCGAAAGAGAGAGAATATGCTCAGCGGAAGGAGTGTTACAGCAGCCAAAGAGAGGCTGCATTCGAGGAGGTTAACCGTTTCCCCCTGAGGCGGCCAGAGGAACCCGAAGTAGAGGTCCTCATAGACTGGTCCTGTGAGGAACCACAACAGGCAGGTGGAGATGGGACCGAGGTCTCTCCACCGGGCCCAACGGGATGCTGGGCAGCCGGCCCAGATCCCCAGCAGCAGCCGGAGTTAGCGGGTGCGGAAGCCAGTGGTCCTTACTCGCAAATGTTGAGGGACCTCACAGACTGGTCCTGGGAAGACCCACAGATGGTAGGTGGAGATGGGACTGCGGTCTCTCTACCGGCCCTACAAGGATGCTGGGCGGTCGGCCCAGATCCCCAGCGGCAGTGTGTGTTACAGGGAGCTGAAGGTGCCGTCCTTCCTCCCCAGCGGCAGTTTGAGTTACAGGGAGACAAAGGTGCCGTCCTTCCTCCCCAGCGGCAGTGTGTGTCCCAGGGAGCTGAAGGTGCCGTCCTTCCTCCCCAGAGGCAGTGTGTGTCCCAGGGAGCTGAAGGTGTCGTCCTTCCTCCCCAGCGGCAGTGTGTGCCCCAGGGAGCTGAAGGTGCGTCCTTCCTCCCCAGCGGCAGTGTGTATCCCAGGGAGCTGAAGGTGTCGTCCTTCCTCCCCAGCGGCAGTGTGTACCCCAGGGAGCAGAAGGTGCTGTCCTTCCTCCCCAGCGGCAGTGTGTATCCCAGGGAGCTGAAGCTGAAGGTGCCGTCCTTCCTTCCCCAGCGGCAGTGTGTACCCCAGGGAGCTGAAGGTGCCGTCCTTCCTCCCCAGCGGCAGTGTGTATCCCAGGGAGCTGAAGGTGTCGTCCTTCCTCCCTCCCCAGCGGCAGTATGTATCCCAGGGAGCTGAAGGTGCCGTACTTCCTCCCCAGCGGCAGTGTGTCCTGCAGGAAGCGGAGACAGTCGGTCTTGCTCCCCAGCAGCAGGACAATATATTAAAAGGGGAGACAGTTGGTCCCCCTCTCCAACAGCAGAGAGTGTTCCAGGGAGAGGAACCAGTTATCACCTCTCCCCAGCAACAGGACGAATTATTGAAAGGGGAGACAGTCGGTCTCCCCCTTCAACAGCAGAGAGAGTGTCAGGGAGAGGAGCTTGTTATCCCCTCTCCCCAGCGGCCGAAAGTATGTATGGGAGAGGAGCTTGTTACCCCTCTCCCCAGCGGCAGCTTAGCCCACCAAGGGGAGACAGTAATCTCCACAACAGTGCAGATGGGACAGTGGTCTCTGCACATGCACCACCGGGGGTAGGGGTAGGGACAGTCGGTCCTGTCCCCCAGCAGCAGGACTGTTTAGGCAAACCCCTCCAGCAACCAGGCTCCAACCAGACTACTCCCGTGGTAGTGCTGGCACCAGGACAGAGTACCGCTGGTCTCTGCCCACTCAGCAACCCACCCAGTACACTTACCAGTCACCCACACAGCCATGGTGAGGCACCTGGACACGGACAAAGTTCTCCCCTACCCAGGTGTAGTAGCCAGTTATTGTGGGTGGGCTGTATTACTGATTGTGTTTTGTGGGTGGGCTACTGGACTAACAAGGGCACTGACCGGCAGGAGGTCAGATACCCTGTTAGTCTGATTGGTAAAGGGGAGAAGTGTGGCGAAACCAACCTCGCCACTATGCACTGGAGAAGCCTGGTTGCCAGCCTCCTGCCATCTGACTATGGCCCCCTTGTGAATTCGTACTTTTGTATGCAATCTTTGGGCATGGGACCTTCTTATATTGCTGCTACTGGCCCTTTAAGGGCCATCCGTGAACATGTTCTGCCTGTTGGGAATAATGCCTTTTTAAGACTATGTAGCAAATTGCATTCAGGCTGTATTTAATATTATGTGTTCAGTATAAAGTGTGATGTGAATGCAGCATTCCCCTGATTGTTCGGTAGAATCACTTCATTCATTATATTGGGTGAAACTACCGAACAACCAGACCACCCGGGAGTAAGTGTGCCTCCAATTATCGTTTGCAACAATGTTGCAAACGGGTGATTGGCAATATGTGTAATGTGTGTTGTGTCCTCTGGGTGGCCGCCATTCGGGAAACGAACACGTGGCGGCGGCCATCTTAAACTCCCGAACAGCGGTGTTTTGCCGTCGAGTGTCTGGAACTAAAATCGGACACTCGACTAAGCAAACACCGCTGAGACCTCCAGACTTCCAGCAATTCGTGCAGAAACTACCGAACGGCGAGAAAGGATCCCACGAACAGGGGGATTCATACGAATCCTCCCCGAGCTCTGTAACACAGGCAATTCGTGTGTTTGATTCCCTTTTCTGTGACCGACTGCAGGGCCAAAATACATGGAACTATTTTCGGATACTTTTGCCATGCAGTCGGTCAAAACTTTAACCCTTTATAATTCCTGAACCCCTGGTCCGATCTGGGTGATTTTTGGATATGTGTCTCACCCAGATCAGGGTTACCAGGGGATGTAACATTTAAAGAGGTATTCCTATGTTTAGGGGTACATCCAGTATCCCAGGGAATTTATGTCTGTACTAATGGGATTATGTGTCACACTAAGGGGAGGAGATGTGTGGGAGGTAACTGGTACATTATTGGCTGGGGTACTAATTGTTGTGGATCCCTCCCTTGCATGGGAGAATGTCTTAAAAGGAGGCTGTGTGAATAAATCCTTAGATTCTGCTTAACCCTCAAAACGAAGTGTCGTCTCGTTATTGGGGGAATTGGATTGTGTGCTGACTGCCAGGAGTGTAAGCCGTTTGTATTGTTTTTCCTGTTCGGCTGCTTCCAGGGTTCCTGTGTCTGCTGTAAGAGAGTTGGTGAATACGTGCAGTTTGGAGTTCAGGAGGTTGGTGATTGCAGTAGCTGCTGGTCTATGGGAAATGGGAAAGGGGATTATCGCCTAAACGGATTTATCCCCGTTAGAGAGAAACGGTCCGTTACAACAACTAACTACTATTCAATCTATAACAGTGAAAAAAATTTTTGGTTTTTAAATGCACGCTATTTTGACACCAGTGAGTGAGTGGTGGCACTGGGCAAGTGGGCACAGTATACGCTGCGAGCCTGACACAAAGACGCTTGCAGACAACTAACTGCTATTCAAGCTATAACAGTAAAAAAAGTGTTTTGGTTTTTAAAAACACGCTATTGTGACACCAGTGAGTGAGTGGTGGCACTGGGCAAGTGGGCACAGTATACGCTGCGAGCCTGACACAAAGACGCTTGCAGACAACTAACTGCTATTCAATCTATAACAGTGAAAAAAGTTTTTTGGTTTTTAAATGCACGCTATTTTGACACCAGTGAGTGAGTGCTGGCACTGGGCAAGTGGGCACAGTATACGCTGCGAGCCTGACACAAAGACGCTTGCAGACAACTACCTGCTATTCAATCTATAACAGTGAAAAAAGTGTTTTGGTTTTTAAATGCACGCTATTGTGACACCAGTGAGTGAGTGGTGGCACTTGGCAAGTGGGCACAGTATACGCTGCGATCCTGACACACAGACGCTTGCAGACAACTAACTGCTATTCAATCTATTACAGTGAAAACATTTTTTTTTAAATGCAAGCTATTGTGACACCAGTGAGTGAGTGGTGGCACTGGGCAAGTGGGCACAGTATACACTGCGAGCCTGACAAAAGACGCTTGCAGACAACTACCTGCTATTCAATCTATAACAGTGAAAAAAGTGTTTTGGTTTTTAAATGCACGCTATTGTGACGTGAGTGAGTGGTGGCACTGGGCAAGTGGGCACAGTATACCCTGCGAGCCTGACACAAAGACGCTTGCAGACAACTAACTACTATTCAATCTATAACAGTGAAAAAAGTTTTGGGGTTTTTAAATGCACGCTATTGTGACACCAGTGAGTGAGTGGTGGCACTGGGCAAGTCGGCACAGTATACGCTGCGAGCCTGACACACAGACGCTTGCAGACAACTAACTGCTATTCAATCTATTACAGTGAAACCTATTTTTTTTTTAAATGCAAACTATTGTGACACCAGTGAGTGAGTGGTGGCACTGGGCAAGTTGACATAGTATACGTTGCGAGCCTGACACACAGACGCTTGCAGACAACTAACTGCTATTCAATCTATTACAGTGAAAACATATTTTTTTAAATGCAAGCTATTGTGACACCAGTGAGTGAGTTATGGCACTGGGCAAGTGGGCACAGTATACGCTGCGAGCCTGACAAAAGACGCTTGCAGACATCTACCTGCTATTCAATCTATAACAGTGAAAAAAGTGTTTTGGTTTTTAAATGCACGCTATTGTGACACCAGTGAGTAAGTGGTGGCACTGGGCAAGTGGGCACAGTATACGCTGCGAGCCTTACACAAAGACGCTTGCAGACAACTAACTGCTATTCAATCTATAACAGTGAAAAAAGTGTTTTGGTTTTTAAATGCACGCTATTGTGACACCCGTGAGTGAGTGGTGGCACTGGGCAAGTGGGCACAGTATACGCTGCGAGCCTGACACAAAGACGCTTGCAGACAACTAACTGCTATTCAATCTATAACAGTGAAAAAAGTGTTTTGGTTTTTAAATGCACGCTATTTTGACACCAGTGAGTGAGTGCTGGCATTGGGCAAGTGGGCACAGTATACGCTGCGAGCCTGACACAAAGACGCTTGCAGACAACTACCTGCTATTCAATCTATAACAGTGAAAAAAGTGTTTTGGTTTTTAAATGCACGCTATTGTGACACCAGTGAGTGAGTAGTGGCACTCGGCAAGTAGGCACAGTATACGCTGCGAGCCTGACACAAAGACGCTTGCAGACAACTAACTGCTATTCAATCTATAACAGTAAGAAAAGTGTTTTGGTTTTTAAATGCACGCTATTGTGACACCAGTGAGTGAGTGGTGGCACTGGGCAAGTGGGCACAGTATACGCTGCGAGCCTGACACAAAGACGCTTGCAGACAACTAACAACTATTCAATCTATAACAGTGAAAAATTTTTGGGGTTTTTAAATGCACGCTATTGTGACACCAGTGAGTGAGTGGTGGCACTGGGCAAGTCGGCACAGTATACGCTGCGAGCCTGACACACAGACGCTTGCAGACAA